CCAATGTGAAATTAATTCCCTTGATTTTGATAGAAATACTCAAGGAAGCAAAATTAAGTGTGTGAGTACAAATATTAGCAGCCCTTACATGTTTATCATTTCTAACAGATCTGTTAACTGTAGACTATGGGACAGGTGTGGAAAGACAGATAAACAATATATATGTTTTGTTTAATGGAAGAATCCTCATAGTGCTTGATTGTTCTTTTAGTTATGTATGGAGAAACATGGACGTTGCAGTTCTTTTAGATCAGCCATTACATTGAAAACTCTTTAAACTGTCTCCTGAACCGAAGTATCACAATGATTTGGTACCATTAAGAAATCTGTGAAATATAATTTAGAAGATAGCAAAAAGAGAAAGGGTGACGTGTGTAAGTTCCATCGTATCTTTCAGGCCCATATCTGGTCTGTCCTACTTAATGCCACAGTGACAACAGCACTAGAGTCACACAGTTATTCTCATCTGTTGACTTAAAGTAGAGAAAAAAAATCACCTTGCAATCACAGTAGATCTGTGAATCAACAGTGAGAAAGCCGCTGTTACCATGGGCAGGTGCTTGTGAGGATGCACAGGTACACACACCGCTGAGCGCAGGGACAGACATTTGAACAAGAAGTATAGGAAGTGGTTGAGGTGATGTAGTGCTGCACTGGGCCATTTCTAAAAAATCGTATTCTCTTTTGTTTGCTTTTCCCGTTTTTACCATCGATTGAGCAACAGACTGAAAAACTAAACCATAAACTGGTGTTTATCCCAAGAGCTTGTCTGCCCAGCCACAGACTTGATCCTCCCAGGCAGAGCAATGTAGGCTGACCAGGTCCTGTCTTCCCCCAGGGCCCAGGCACCGAGGGGTGAGAGGCCTGGCTGTGGATTTGAACATATAACCTGCCATGAACATGATTCCTGAGTATCACATTTTTAACAAACCCCTCCCACCTCTGCTCAAAATGCCCTCAACATGCATTTTAGGCATCTTACATTTTTCTTCTAGACTAATATGTAGAGACACGCACAACGAGACAGAAGAGTGAAATTTCATTAATAGCTTCCTAGCTGAGGTGTAAAAATGAAGCAGTATTCTGTTGTCTTCATTACAGCACATCCCCCTTCTTCCTTCTTTATCCTTCTTCAATTATTACATGCGCTACAATCACGGCAACAGAAGCAAGGGATCCTCCAGACAACAGGATCCTCTGTTTGACTAGCTCAATTCATCTCCCTGGGCAGAAAGATGAATAGTCATGTAAATGAAGATTGTGTCCTAGACCTACACACAGGAAGGCCAAATTAAGATTACCCAGGCAGACTTAATATCTGGGTATTGCTAGCTGTTGAGAGCTGGACTTTGCAAAACAGAGCTTTCCATTTTTAGTAAAATTGTTCTTGTTTATTCTGTTTTGTGGAATTGTGTCTGTACCAACCTAAGTTAGTTATCAGCAGGACGCAGCAGAGACCACTGCTTGTGCGCTAGTGGTGTGAATCAGGAAAGCTTGAAGTGAAGTGTGGGAAAGCCGCAAAATGGGGATCAGGGCACAGACAGCTCCGCTGTTCCCCTTCCCGCTCAGGAAACGGAAAGTGGAGAGACTCAATCCCTCACTGTCATGCCTCATTTCTACTTGGAGAAAGCAGGTAGTGCCATAGAGTTGAGGCTTGTTTACTTTGCCTTCTCACTGTGGGAACAGAGCTTCATTGCCTGGGCACATTGAACGGCCCCTTCTTCCTAGCCAGCAAGCATTATTTCTGTACAGGAGTCAGAGCAATAGCTGTGCTGCTGTATTCTGAGCTGGCATTTGCATTTTTCTAGCTTGCCCATACTGTCGCTAATGTAGTGCTGAGTTTAGCATGTCTAGAAAACGACTGTAATGGCGGTGCAAAAATGTAAGCATGGTAGACATGGTTCTGTCCTTTGGCATATGGATTTTTAAAATATTAAGGTATAATAAACAAAGGTTTTGTGCTTTAATTTTAATCTTGTTTTGGTATGGAAACATTTTAAATGTGAGATAAAAAAAGTAAGAAGAAACGCTTAGTTCCATCTTTTAAAGTAGGGGCTAATAGAAGACTATAAAACATTTTCAATCCCCAAATTTATGAATGTATACTGCTGAATTGTCTTTATTATCACTAAGCAAGGGATTTTCAAGGTACAAAGTTCATAAAGCATGAACAGGATGTTCTCCGGTACAGGTCCTTTCCTCTGGAATTTACTCATGCCAGAAATGCATCAAGCCCCGTCTCATTTCAGGAAAAATGTACTCCTTTTGTCCCAGCCTTTCACCAGCTGCTGGCTCCAGAACCCTTGGTTTGCAGCTTACTGGCAGTGTTTTCTTTGTCTCTGTCCTTCAGAACTTCATTGTTCTGCAGAATCATGCTACATTCATTCCATGTACTTGAAAAATGTTACAACTTCTAGTCTAAGCCAGGCATTGCAAATTCAGCACTCTCAGAAATAATTTATAATGCTTTTGTTGCTGTAAGCCAGATGGATGACACCTGGATTTGTGAGTGGTATCTACAAGAGCCCATCTGTACCCACTAGAAATTTTAATGAGAACAACTTCCCCTGAGGTACACTTTATGAATGACTAAGACTGGGTGTGACTTAGACTAATAAACAATTTGTGTACCTCAACAAATTCTCCAACCACAAATCAGTACTGCAGTCTGGTGCTAAATGTCAAATGGTCACTAGCTGTTGGGGCAAGAGTATGAAGAACTGATCTGTAGTATCAGCTGCATGGCTTTAAAATGTTCACACGACTAGGCTTGTGACAAAATACAACAGAGTTAGTCCATCTCTCATGTTTTTCCAGCTACCAAAAATCTACCTGTAATTTCTAAATTTATTCTCCTATTTGCCACTTCCTTGATCAGTTGTAGATGTGTTTGCCATTTCAGAAACCTGAAATTGAAATATTAATGGTCATCACAAATTAAACGTTACTGGTTCTCTGAGTATACAACCCTAAAAGAAGCTACACTGATTCTATTATTCCATTTAGTAAATAAAATTACTCCTTCCTGTTTAAACATTAGCCGTAAGTTCTGATGGAATTTCTAGATTGATGCCATATAGTGCAACAAAACCAAAGGTCTCTTCGGTCTGATTCAACTTTTATCGAATACGTGAACATTTGCTTACAGAACATGTTTTTCATAAAGTATTTGCCACTTTTTATGTTGAATCACTGTCAGGTGTCACAGTCTTTAGAGGAGACTTGTTTTCTTTGAAGGAAATAATACCACTTATGGCCAGAGTTTTACCTGTTTTTCTAACTAGGTACACGGGAGCTCTGGAGGGATGTGCTCTCTGCTTCTCTTCTCAAGCAGCTCTGGAGGTTCTCACTTCAGAGTACAATTCTTCTTTGCCCCCATTTCCACTAGGACTTGCTGTCCAAGGAATAATCAGACCTCTGTGGAGCTGGCGGATGCCAACAGGAAAGGCTATTGCTCATCTAAGTGCTATACAATGCACTGCAACAATACCTTCTGCAGAAACTGAAATGGAAGGAAACAGCAGATTCTACATGTGCTGATCCAGTTTCCTAGCTTTTGTTTTTGCTTAAGACAACCATGCATTTTCAGTTGACCTATGCTACTTACAGCTTTTTGGGAGCTTCCGATCTTGTTAAAGAGCCTGTCTGTCAAAAGGCTTTCTCTGTGCAGTTTTTTCCTTGCTGAGTGGTGAAACTTTGAGATGTAGCCAGCTGTATCTTATTCAGTATGACAGCAAGGAAACCATTTAAGCCACTGATGCAAATCAAATGTGATCTTAATGTTATTCCTAAACAGAAAGACTCTCAACAACTCTAGATACTAAGGTCTCATTTGATCATATGTAAAACAAATACATCCTCTTCATATATTTATGAGTATTTGATTACTATTATTAGTATTACTATTACTAGTCATGAAGTCATTACCTGCATTACCTCTTTCCTGTCTCAAACTTAGAGTAGCTAATGGCTACACAGCTATTGCCTCTGGTTATCAGTCAGTGTTTTGTTACTTCTCTGAAAAGCACTTTGGTTGCTCTGCTTTAAAAAAAAACTTACAGAGCTCATTTATCCCAGGAAACCAGGAGTCAGAATTTATTGGATTGGAAATAACAGTGCAGCTGTGTAGATGTGAGTTCTTCACATTGCTCTCATGGCAAAATCAGGAGTTAAAAGAGTATACTCACCTCCAGTAGTAACACACCCAGCCTGTAGGCAAAGGAAATGAACTGTTTTGTGGGAGTATTTTTAAAGTAAAAAAAATTGCATGTTATATTAATGTTCTGAGATTGCTGTGAGGAGAGTAATCTCACTGTGTCAGCTGATGCTTCCTTTTTTTTTTTTCTTTTCTCTGATTTAGAATTTAGTATTTATATCACTTTAGGATATAAATGTTACTATAATGATATTATAAAGCTACGTACTTGTTAAGCTCTACAGAACTTTCATTCATTAATTGTACAGTGACCAGAACAACCATGTCCTCATGCCTAATTGAGGCTGTTAAGTATTGCTAAAAAAAACCCTTTCCCTGGATAAGTTGTCTCTTCTCTTTCCCCACCTTAATTTGTATATTATCTATGAATGGCATATTTTGTCTTTATTTTTTCACACTAAATTTTTAAATTTGAATAAATAATTATCAAATGAGAATAAGATAAATGCAGATGATTCTATTTAGGTTGCAATTACTAACACCTTATAGTGTTAATAAAACCATTAAAGAATTTATGCCGGGTGAGGTTCTTGTACAGAAATTCTGTCTCTCTACTTAGATGAGGTTGAACTTGTAAAGACCAGCTGAGTTACTCCTTGTTTATACCACTGGAAGGAGAGGGGAATTTAACTCACAGCATATTTTTTTTTAAGGTTGTGACTTCTAAAAGTTTTGCCAGACACTATTACCCTGTACAGTTGCCTCTGCAAATCTGCAGTCAATATATGCATAAAGGTGATTCCTTCTTGACCTTTTTTAACTATTCCATTTTTTTTGTCTTCAGGTGTGGGTGGATGCTGGTACACAGATATTTTTCTCTTATGCGATCTGCTTGGGGTGCTTGACAGCCTTGGGAAGTTACAACAACTATCATAATAACTGCTACAGGTAACATCTTCCACACTTTATTTTTACATTTAGTTTCAGTGATGGAAGTGTCCACATAGTTAGCTTCACTCAGAAGTACTTCCCTTTTCCTTCAGCTATTTGCATGAGTGATCATAAACACATGCACATGTTTTTGTAGAACAGAGATCTGTAATGTTTCTTATAATTGTTTCAGAGGAACTCTTTTCCAAAATTTGGTGTTTTCATCTCTTTTGATCATATCTCACGCTTGCGCAGCCACAAGACACTCAGTACACATAGGTATACACAATTGCATTTATAATACACAGAATTTCATACATGTATAATTGCATGCGTGTGCAATATTTGATTGTATAACATATATCTGCTTTAAAACAAAAATCCTACCAAAAATTGTTATTCAAACTCACCTGAGTTTGGTCTATGCTCTGAATGTCACTTTTTCCCATAGTTTACTTACTGGCTCCCAGCTAGAGCACAGTAGAAATGGGTAGCATTTCATTGCTTATCTTTATAGGAACCAGTAAGGAAATCACTATGACTTCAGTAGGTTTTAATCTTTCCTGAATCAATGTCAAAAGGATATGACTCGCACAAAATCCTCACTCCATTTTACTGGCATGGGCAGGAATATGAGCACTACCATTTTCTTGTGGCATCAGTAGTTACTGAATTAGTTTTCCTACTATTCAACAGCACTGATAGTTTGATTGCACTGACTCCATTATGATCTCCAGACAGAGAATTAAAACTTCATTTTTCTATAAAGGAAATAATACAGTCCAAAAGCAAAAGAACCCCTAAGACCCTCAAAGTGTAAGTATTTAAATTCTAAATTACAGTTTTACTTGGAAAGTTCAGGAGACAGTTTTAGGAAATGCCTCCTTCTTTCAATGTCTTAGCAACAATTTGCTCTTCTGTCAGAGAAACACCAAACAGTAGGCCTCTCCAGTCAGAGGGGGAATTGGGATACTGGAAACCACAGAGACACGAATGTATCCACCAGCTGAATGTCTGCAAAGCAATCCAGCGGCAGTTAAGGCGTACTTTGCCATCTAAACGTGCAAAGTAACTTAGCAGCAACATAAGTGACTCTTTGTTTGGCTATGACAGCCAAAATTCCAAATGTTTTGCTCCATAAAGTAAAGTCCCCTACAATCTCTAGTGCTGATTGACATTATTTTCAGAATAAATGACAAAGATGCCTGAACAGAGGGTAATGAATGCCCCTACAGAACAGTGAGTATTGAAAGTTTTCTCTAATTAGCATAAGTGATGCTTTAACAAAGGTGCTACTCCTTTTCTCTCTTATTTTATTTTATTTTAATTTCTTTCCAGTTCCATCCCATCTAGAAACTATTCTGTCACTGCCTCAAGGACTGCAGTAATCTTTTTACTATGGTTTTACTCATAACAAAAAGCAGGAGTTTTGATGCGTGATCAGAGAGCTTATGTAATTTTCCTTCTTTTCCTCTGACCCTAGCAGCATAGCTTGTAAAAAACAGCAGCAGCTCTCTTTTAAAGCTCCTGAGCAAGATGCTGCAACAGAATACTTTTTACTGAATCCAAGCTTCACAATTCCTCTAACAAAATTTTTTCACAAATTTCCTGAATAGGACAGACTTTATTGTGTCTGGAAGTATGATTCTTAAGAAATCTGAGGAAAGGAGTGGGACAGAATTTAACTGCAGAAAGCAGCTGAGTTAAAAGGGCTGTTAACAGAGCAAGACATACAAAACAGCCATGCAGTGGAAAGTAGAACTAAATTTGTATTCTAACTGGCACATAAAAAAATTAAAATCAGGCTATGGATTTGCCTCTTGCAATACCTGCAGTGTATTGTCTGGTTGTAACATCTACTTCCAGTCTTTTTGCACTCTGTTTTACTAAAATTTTTTTTCTAAGGGAAAGTTGCAGTGGAAAATAATGACATGAGGTATTTTAGTGGGAAATGGGAAAATCTAAACTGCACATGGGTTTTTCTTATTAGCAACCTGATCTAATTCATTAACATTGTAAATGAATTGCAAACAAATCACTTCACATCTTTGATTAGGAAATTAATTTTTATTGTCCTTACTTATCTTTTGTTGTAATATATTAATACAGATCCTCCCTGGATTTACAACAGTTTATATCAAAAGCGACTCTTAGGAAAAGATGAAAGTAATGGCAGTATCATCAGCAGGCAATGTTTTCCCCATATAAATAAAAGAAAGGTGTACTTGATGTTTCCTCTAATTTTTAGCAAGCTAAGAATTCCTAATCCATTCAGACCTTCTTAAGGGATGGATTAACTGCAGACAACCTCAGTAGACAGAAAAGGAAAATGTTCTTGTTCCTGCTTCATGTGCTCTGTATTTGCAGAACTGATCCAGCTCCCTGCTGGACGCTGTGCCGTTCTCCATCGGGGAAACGCCATTTGGTTTCACAGCACCACTCCTTTGTACTGGAGGCTGCACCTCAGCGGGACAATTTTTATGTATGAGCCCCATGTACAAATCAGGGGTTAGCTTGCCATGTTGCCGCTGTGGTGCAGAAGATGAATGAGTGATTTCACACGCTGTCAACAAATGGACAAAACTTGTAAGAAATGAAGATGTGTCCTTTATCAAGCTTCTAGTCTAAGAGGAAAAGAGGAATGGGAATTGGTCTTGAGGGGATCCATAAAGGCAAGGAAGTAACTGGAGGGATGCAAAAGGCTCTGTGGGCTCTTCTCTCTAATCAGAGAAGCTCCTTAAGGAAGGCAGAATAAATTTTCAGCAGTATCCTGCCTGTCAGGCAGGGAGAGGGTAAGGGATGCATGTCTTGAATTATTCAGGTGATTGGCAAGACATTAATTTGGAAGAATGTGAAGTTTTCATAAAAATTTGAAGTTTTCCTTTCATTTGAAATCAGTTTGGGCTTCAGTCAGGTTCCGATGCCTTCCTACCACGGATGCTTATTAAAAATTGATGGAAAATTAGATAAACTTCATGTTCTCCTTCCAATGGTTCTTGGGCATTTGTGTTTTAAAATTCATCAGTTTCACAATCAATGGCTCCAGATCCCCCTCCCAGTTTTCCTTCCCATAGCAGAAAAAAAGACTGAACTACAGGTTACACACTTCTATCTAAGGCAAAAAACCCAGAAGGAGTTGAGGGGTTAGTAGAATTCCTGCAAAGATAAAGGAAGGATGGAAATTAAAATCGGAGGTTATATTTTTATTAGGACAGGAAATGCTGCTGGGTCCCCAGAGAACCGAGTATTCAGTCTGTGACTGTCTAACTGGGGAAGAAAATGATGGAGCTGTGGCTGTGTTATGCCAAAAGAATGGGTATCTCACTAACTGGAGATGATGAAAATCCCCTTAGATTAACTTTTGCCCATTTCCTTGGAGAAACGCCTATCTACCCTGTAACTATTTTGTACCATAGCACTGTGGTTTGTGGGTCTTCCCTGTGAGTGCAGAAACGTCTGTGCTCCTCTTGTTCTCTCACAGATGATCCAGTTATGTAGGGTTGTCCAGCTTAAACCACTTGGGCCTTGCCCTCGGACCTTCCTTCAAGAGGAAGCAGCAGAAGCTGCCAGGGGCTCTGAAGGTGCACAGGGAGCAATGTGTCTCCACTTCAACCCTTTCTCGCATGGTTAGGAACCAGCAGCTCTCAAATGTCCTGTGCCAAACCATTCACCAAAAAAAAAATCTTGTTGTTTGGACTGCATTTGAAGCCTGGGAATTATCTAAAATAAATCTGATCTGCAGGCTGTTCCAAATGGAGGCATAATATGACTGGTGAGCAGCCAGATCCATCCCGCTGAAGCAGTATCTCCCCCCCCCCCTCAAAGGATTAAAAAATACATCTTTCTGTATATCTCTTATCAACAGAGTTTCACCACACTTAGTTTTAATTTCTCAGCATTGAACTCACCAGTTTCTTAGGTGAGATAGGCTGGGGTGAGAATCTCTCCAGAGGTAATTCAGTGCCGAAATACACCGAGAAGACTGGTTAGGAAGATGATCTTTTTCTTTGTTTTATTTCTCTGTAAAGCAAAAAGAACTCTCTGCTCCTGGTTTCTTTCTTTTAGATTGCTATATTGCTTTAAAACATCGAAAGTGTATAACTTGCCTGGCTGTGCATAACTACAGGAAGCAATTTCATATGAAAAGCAAATAAACAACAAGTTGGAATTCTGACCGTTTTCGGAATTTTCAGAAAGTACTTTAAAGGACGTATTTACCCCTGCTAATGAACAGTGTTAGAGAGAGTCCATGCATGAAAGAAGTGTGAACATCGCTGGACTTCTCCATGTCTGAGTCTTGATCTACAACTGGGAGTGTTCATTCTTTTTCATTTCTGGACAAATTTTGGCAATTTATAGATGATATGCCATATAGAATTTTTTTACTATGAAATGATTATGGAAACATAAAAACATTCTCAAAATAATGGTTAAAATTAACTGTAGATAAGGGGATGAGAGAGAGCCAAAGCCTCCCATGGCCCAATGGCCATAGTTCAGCTGATCACTCACTTTGCAGTATGGAAATGTGTGCCTGCTTCCTGCCATTTAGAATGTATGTGCCTGATGCTAAGGTGAGTCAAAGTAACAGAAGTAACAGAAAGAGCTTTGAACAGATGTGGGATGCAGTGCAGGGCTCATTGGTGAAGGAAGAAGATGCTGGAACTGGTCACCTCACCTTCAACTTAATAAACTGATGAGATAAAGTTACAGGATAAAAATACCAAACGAAACAAGGAACAGGACAGACAGATTACCAAAGAAGTTTTGCCGGAATATATGCCAGGACTTCAAAAATATGAATTGTCTCTGATACTCAAAAAGTCACTACAAATCTGTGACAAGGATGGGAATCATTATTGAAGATGTGGATTCAGAACCTGTTAGATTTTACAGGGTCATTTCTTCTCATAGACAGCTTGCACAAAAATTTGCTTTAGAGCTGTAGTAGGATGGGAATAAACCAGACTGAGGTATAGGCTTGACAGAGCTACTGGCTTGCCTCGTGTTTCAGTGTTTTAGAATCCTACTTTACTTTCAGGCATCTAGGTTAGGTTACTATTTTCTCAAGTACGCAGCTGTCTCTTGTAGCAAACAGTCTTAAAAGACTGACTGTCATGATAAATCATTCCTACCTCATCATCTGTCAAGCCTGAACAGCTGTCTGAAAGCAGGATGAACAACGGTATCTCACTGAACTCTGGGGAAAGATCACACCTTTCTGCAAGAGTGTTTTCCCTTTTTTTAAAGCGATTTACTATGGTGACATTTCCGATCTGGGAAAAGAAATATTTCTTCCCCTTGGCCTTGTAATTGTCGTTGTTTGATGTGTAGGATACATAGGTCTGAGAGATCAGTGTCCCTGCACTGTCTTTGTCTACTTGTTAGGCACTTTTTTAGGCATATACACACTTCTTAAATTATGTATGGTGCTTTTCATTACCACAGCTTCTTAAAAAAAGTTTATAAACCAAACTGGAGTTGTATTTTGTATGGATATATATTGCCAACATACTGTAACTGGAATAGAATTAGCTAAGAATAGACCATAGGATTTTTTCCCAGGAAACAAATTACTACCATTTTTATATAGTTCATAAATAAGTTTATATACTCTGGAATACATTATTACAACTACTGTAGAAAAATTGTTCTTAACATCATTCTTACAGTATTTTTACATGTTTTTTAAAGATTCTATCGAAAAACAGTGAGTGAGTAGTAACAGGTTTGCAATTCAACCAGTTACAACACAAGCAAGGGTCATACCCTTGGTATCTTCCTGCAAATGCTTATGTCTGACTGATTTCTCTCAGGCACAATATCAATTGGAAGCTTACTCTTAATAAGCAACTTAAAGTACATTCCTGCAGCTTGGGGTTCTATTAGTCCTATGGCTCAGTATATGAAAGAAACCCAGGCTCTGGAGATCAACTGCAGTGTTTTTTATTTATATTTTCAGAGACTGCATCATGCTCTGCTGCTTGAACAGTGGCACAAGCTTTGTTGCTGGTTTTGCTATCTTTTCAGTTCTTGGATTTATGGCTTATGAACAAGGTGTGCCCATTGCAGAAGTTGCAGAATCAGGTAAGTTCCAAAAGCAGTTTTCTGAGTTAACAAAAAATTCCCAGAGGTTGCTGTCAGAATACTTAGTTTGTGCCATTATCTTATGGATAAGTCGACTGTTTTGGAGATAGTTTTACAAAACTCCTCTTAAAAACCTGTTACGTGACTCATTAGAATAACTGCTATAAGAAGAGTTCTTAACTATTTTTATGGTCATACATTTATGAGTGAAAAATATTAATGTTATTGTGCATAGCAACAAGGACCAAATTCGTAAAGTCAAGGAGCTATTGTAACACAAACTTACTCCAGCTGAGCATCCAGAAGATTGTTTAGCAGAGATACATTGCTCAGTTATGCCCCTTAAGTGTTATATCCTCAGTTTTCTTTAAATGAGATAGACCAAAATCCACACAAATATTTGTTCCTTCTGAAAAAAAAAAAAAAAGAAAAAGAAAAAAGATATAGCTATTAAAGTAATGAGAAACCAGCTGTTTAGGAGAAATCTTTGGAAGTCCTCTGAGGTCTTGCTTAATGTAAACATATTTGGATAGTATATATCCAAATATATATCTCTCTATCTCTCCATATAGATATATAATAGGTAGATATATAGATTATAGATAAAATATATATA